TCAACAATCAATTATATTGTATATAGAAAAAACATTGAAATAGATTTGACAAATAACAAAGTAATGTTACCTTTTCAAGATATGTATACAGAGTTAGCATGGCGATATCTTTTATATAAATATGGTCATTATGAAGCTGTAAAACGTTTCTCAAATCTTACAAGATGTCTTTTTGCTGTAACTGGAGCCATTGTTGAAGCACATGAATCACAAAAGTTTACAGATATAATTGATTCAATTATTGAACAGACTGAACAAAAACTTAGTTATTAAAAAAAATTTTCGTGTTTTTATCTAGTTATATTCACAACTGAGTCAAGTAGTATGTATTTTTTAAATAAACATAAAGCAGAAGTTATTTAGTGATTAGAAAAGACATTTGATTTATTATGATAGAAAATTCAGCAGTCCTATGCACAGTGGCGGCGCGACCGGGGGGGTGGGGTGGGGGAGTACCCCCTCCTGCTTTTGAAAATTTTCGTTTTTTTTGCTCAACAATACCTCAAAATTTGATTTTTTTTCACATTTTCTCCCATTTTTCGAAAGTACCCCCCCCCCCAGAACATTTCTTCCTCAGATTTTCTCCGATTTTTCGAAGGTACCCCCCCCTGCTTTGACCTCTTCGCGCCGCCCCTGCCTATGCAATAAATGAAGTTGTTTTTTTATATACCTGCTTTATTTTATTTTGATAATGTTATTCGAAATTCACTTTAGAAGAACGTTGTCAATGCATTAGTTAGCCGGAGATGGCGTAGTGGTTCTATGCATCTGATTGCTAGTCAGACAGCAGAAGGTTCGATTCCTCCTCTTGGCACGGTGTCTTCGGTGTCAAGATAACTGTATCGGAAGAATAAACAAAGGAAGAACAGTAATACACGCCAACCTCATCATCATTGCCTCGATTTCGATTTTCGTTCTGTTCGTATTCGCTTCCTTGTCATTCTTTCTCTGTTTGTTATCGTAATCTTGTCTATTGACTCCTATGTTTTGTAAGCGTCCGCAAAAAATTATATAAAAAAATCACAAAAAAAAAGAATGTATGGATGTCACGATTAAAATTCAGCATAATTAAAAAAAATGCATTAATTCAAGCCTGTTTGTCTACGAATAATATCGAAACAGATTTTTTCTAGCAAAAATGTCTTTCATAGAATACTTCTAAAAATTATTCGGAAGTACAACTCTTGCAGCAACATATACATTATAAAAAGAAACTCATAATAAAAAATGAATCGGCTTGTTAAATCTTATTCTAGTGGCTACTCTGAAGAGTCATTAACACAACATTTTTTTGCAAACATTATTTCAAGCATACGTCCCATTATTAGAAATGTTAAATCAGTGAAATAACTTTCATTCTTCGACGTATGATTTTTAACATCAACGTTGTTTTGAGAACAATCAGTGAATTTACGACTGGGTTTATGTCGTTAGAAAACTTTCCTAAAAATATGAACAATGACTGTTTTCAAAGGTAGCGTACAAAAAAAAACTGTTTCGTGAGTTAAACTCGTTCTCAATGCACCCCTATCGTCGCCAGTACATATGGATTTTTATATTCAGAGTTACCATTCTCAGCATACTTTTCTTAGTTATCTTTCATGCTGTCTAACAGTTTGGTGATGTTAATTATGTCTAAAGCAGACTAAATTTGCTTTCCAGTACTTTATCATAATAAACGTTTTCAATTATTTTTACATGTCACGATAACATACTTTTTATTATCTCAGACTTAAGAAGAGTTATTTATCTTGTAGCTATCTTATATTACATTTTTCATTCATTATCTGGGTTTTTCTTATTCTATTTTGTGAGCATACTTGAGAGTTTATTCACCAAAAAAACGAGAAGAATATTTCTGAAGGTAATCAATCTCTATAATTTAAATCAAAAACATAGGGTTTCTTAGATAAAAATAAATAGTTCTGCAGAATCATCGTAATAAATTAAAAAAAAAAGATTTTCTTTCAAGGCAAATTCTATTAGAGTAAAATAGATAAATTTTATTCAATAACATATTAGCTTTTTCATTTAT